TTAGCCGTGTTCCCCATTTCAACCTGAATATTAGTGGGCGGAGCCAACATGGGTTCAAGCAACATCTGTATCCCTACTCCAGGCCTTCCCCACCTTACACCAGAGCCATTAGGAATGAGATTCCTGTAATTCCAGAATGAATCTCCAGTTCGGGCATAAATGATGTTATCTAAATTTTACACATTTACTACTTACAGTTTAAGCCTAACGAGTGATGCTGACAGATTTCTTTCATTTACTTACCAAAATAAACCGAGACATGTTCTGGTCCGGCCCACCTAAGATCAAACTGGGCTGTATGATGGAAACTGCTCCTGCAGTGTTCAGTAATGTTAGAAAAGAACTATATAAATGGCAGTGCATGTGATGCTCATACACTCACATGGACACTGCAAACGTGTTTATTTAACTGACCTCAGTAAAACCTCACACTTTACCAACACAAACAGGTTTCTTTGGCTCCCTGGGACATGTTTGCTGTGCAGTGTCCCATTGTTCTGCAGAGACCACATGATAAACACTGAGCACTCAGCTAAAGTCCACACGCAGACATCTCATTTTATGAGCCGTTTACAAAGGGTGTGGAGTTATAAAGCTGCTGCTCCGTCGGCCCATCGATCGATGCTAAACACTCTTCACATCATCTACAGTCATCTGTCATCTAGAAACTTATGACTCATTTCTGCAAAACACATTCGTGACGTCTCAGCACTGAATCACACGTATCCTCCCCTCTTTCATGCCGCACACTCTCTCACCCTGTAAACTGACCGGCCGTCTGTATCCACTGTGAGCGAGACATAACTGAAGCCACGGCGGCTCAAATGTCGCCCTGGTTACCGAGATCTGCATCGGGTGATGAGGACCAGACCTTCAGCAGATCCCAGGAACGACATCTGAGATCTCCACCACGAAGGACGCAGTCCCAGAAACAGCAAAGACACTGCACAGGACCCTGAAGCTCCAGGCCTCTGGCAGAGGATCACGCACAGGGATTTCTTTATATCTCTGTATATGTCTGCGTCTCATGTTTGCTACATTTGATCTTAAACAGAAGCAAAGGGGAGAAAATGTATCTAATGTGACAGAGTTGGTGTTACAGGGTTAAAGGGTGCTAAATAGAAAGTTTGGGGCTTTTCCCCAAAATCCAACCTTTGTGTCACCATTAGCTCAGTCTACAGGAGCCCTCTGTACTTTATGCTCACCTCAGATTAGCCCCAGACACAGAACAAGTGCGCTCTTCCACTAGAAACTTGTTTGGCGACCTTTGCACTTCATGGCTCTCTGACCTTTGACCCAGACACATCACACCAATAAGAGGAGGAGAAGTGAAAACAAGTCATCAACACTTTCACACCACAGCAAACGAGCTGGAGGAAACACTGAATGCAGTCCTGGAGTCAGAGCTCAGCGGCACATTCACATTGATGCTTTTAAACATCTGTTCAAAGACAAATAAAGGAGAGTATCAGAGTGAGCATGAAACCAGCGCTGGCCTGTGTCACTCTCACACTCTTGAAGTAGCAGCACTCCTACTGAGGATGATGACGCTGACAGGTTGTAATGGAAACTGATCGACCTGATAAAGGTTTCGCTATGTGACTCTCTTTCAAACAGATAAGCCGTCTCTGTCGTTCCTCTTATCTGTTTGTTTGGTGTGGACACAAGTGGGTGTGGCTGTGTGTGCATGCACATGGAAGCGCCGTGCACTGTTCAGCTGATTTATTACAGGGTTAAAGATTAACCCATTTCCAGGTCCACTCCAGGGCAAACGTTACTCGTTCTCCTTATCGTAGTGATTTGTGAGCCTGTGCAGCAAAGACATTTCCTCCTGCAGGTTACTGCAGACGTCAGCTTTACTGATACTGTGAGAATAAAGATGTGAGTCTGTGTTGGATCCAACACCAGCCTTTCTACATGCTTTCTTTGTTTGCATGCAGCTGTCTGAGCAGATGTAACTAGCAAAGGTGTCTAAACGTGCTGGAGAAAAGATGCAACTTTTACATACTAAGCACCTTCAGCTTCACTGACACGAAAGACACTGAAACATGTGCGAGTCATAAGATCAGTCAACCTCTCACGTTAGACCCACAGCCTGCAGAACAGCGGTGTGCTGACAGCAGCGTTGGTCGTTTTCTGCACTGTCATGTCAACATTTAACATGCTGACTGAGGTCTGATGGGAGCCATGTTGCTCTTGGGTTTTTGGAGCAGCGCACTGATGTTGGGGTGAACTTGCCGAGGCCTCCACTCCGACTGGCAGCTGTTTCCTCTCATTACGTTCTCTCGGTGTTTCCAGAGTGACGGGCAGCAACAGTTGCTTCTCTAAGATCACTGCTGATGTTTCTCCTCCATAAACTGCTTTCAAAGTGCTCACACAGTTCTCAGTGATATTCGACTGCACCTTCTCCTCACCTTCTTAACTCCCACAGAAACACTCGGGGGATATTTGGCTCTTCACACAAAGACTCTGCATCTGGACACCGACTGATCTGCAAGCCTGCGTGTAAACCAGTGCGTGCTTTTACTGTCACAGCACCACGACTCAAACTCACCCTCAAGCCAAGCACCAGGAAGCCGATCTCCTCCATCAGTGGGTATTTCCTGATCTGCTGTTCCCGTTTCTCCTGTGAGGCGTACGGATCATAGCTCCGCTGGCCCAGCTTCACATCCATGATGCAGGGTTTGATGAAGTGACGAGTCACATCCTCCAGCTTCAGGTACAGGTCTGTCAGGCACAACAGAAGGTGTTAGTTTGTCTGATTGTTGGTGATGAACGTTCACGGAGCTTGTTGGCATATCAGCGTGAGTTTTATTTAAAAATCTACCTCATGTAAGAATACAATAATATGAAGACACGCCCGCAGTGCAACACCTGCACCAACAATCACACATCTGGATGCACAAGGATGAACACGAATCACGTGCTGAAGCTTTCACAGCTCTCATCGAGGACTCGGGTTTTCTCTTCGACTCTGCGGACAGCTACAGATCCTTACTGAGACTGACTGTTTCCTGTTTCCAGTAAAATGTCAGTGTCTGTACTGGTATTTGGAGCTGGAGGTCCCAGCGTGCACTGGGTCAGAAGCTCTCAGTTTCTGTTTGCTGATCTGAGACATCTTTGCTCACACGCAGGTAAACCGTGTGCAGAGAGGAGACGGTTAAACTCACTGTTAGCTTTTTTGTCTTTTGTCCGGCTAACACTAGCTGTTGTCCGTGTGATGCCACAGTCTTACCGTTGGGCCTGTCAGGAGAGGACCAGGTGCCGTAGTATCTGGGCAGATACGTCTGGAGCTCGAGAAGACAGGGATCGCAGCAGTCCTCTGCATAAACCTGGGACAGAAAGACATACGATGGTTTATCTCTGTGAAGAAGTACCTGCCAAAGCTTTTACAGCAACTAAAATCATCTCTCAGGACGCAGGAAGAAAAGGAAGATGGTGCAGCAAAGAACTGAACAATCTTTGGCATCAGTGCCTCCCACCACGAAAATAATACTCAGGCTCTTTATAGTGCAGAGAGGTCAGTGTACTGGAAGCGAAGGGTGGCTAAATCTGTTGATGCTGGGACTGTTTTAAAGTCTCCTGAAGGTTAAAGGTACAAACAGACTCAAGCATGTGTTTGATGACACTGCCTCCTGAGCTTAGTAAAGTTTTGGAAACTGGGAGCGATGCTGGTCAGTGTGGGCCTGCTGCTGGGATCCCGTCAAACAACAGCCACACGTTAGCCTCAGACTGACCTGACACAGCTCTAAAGAAAACAGTGAAGCAGCTCACTGTGGCTGATGTACTGGTAATTACATTTACAGTTCTTCATCCATCCAACACCGGCTCAACTGACCGCGAGCTACAGCTGACCCGGTGACCCCGGGGGAACTTTAAGCTCCACCCGAGATCCAACAGCCTGGGTAGAACATGTTTCAGCTTTATTGTGAGACAGCATCGTGCAGCTTTCTGAAGGTCACAAGGTTGAGTTCAAGTGTGAAGTCATTATGTTACACTTGAAATATAATA